TATTATGTAATAATTCAAGTTTAAGACAGAATTATGCCATTACCGTCAACGTTTCCATTGATGGAAATTAAATATTTCATTTGGATTTTGAATTTTCGAAGTCGTGCTCATGATACTGTCACAGGCCAAAGTTGAACGGTTAGGTTTCTCAATGCGTCTTAGCAGATTTTTTTCTTTCTTTTTTTTTTTAACATCCGGATTCAGCAGTTATCAATTTCAACAATCGGCTAGACACCACCACTGACACCCGGAAAAGGACTGGATTTCTGCGCCCCTATGATAAAAACAACTTTCAACTACACTGCTCTAGAACATTTGGAACATCGACGAGAGTTCCGATTGCTAATACGGCTGTGAGACCTTTCTGAGTATTATCAAGCTATGTAACACCAGTAAAGTATTGCATAAGCTGACGAAAAATAACAATAAAGCAAACTTCAGCAGGCCATGTTGTGGCCAGGGGATATGTCCCTTTACTGGAGTACTAAACTCTGAAATCGGCCATACAACATTGGCGTAGTGTGAATTCAGTTATGAGCAATGTAACAGCGGTATTTGACAAAGAAGCGGCTTTTCATTTACTTTCATGCTGACAATTTTATGAAACTTTCTGGAAGTTTATATAACAGGCTTGACTCCTGCTGTGGACAATTTCGATGATTATACGCGGACAAAAGCTTCTTTTTTGGTATTACCTACAACATGCTGTGATTCAGTGAGCGGGGCCGTTTACAATATGCTCTCGTATAAGTTTCATGGGAAAAAAGCCTATTGCGTAACTTTAATTACGGTTATTAACTTCTGTAAACAATGTCCATTTATTTCACGCTCTGGGATAAAGAAACGTTTATAATCAGTGCTGCATGTACAAAAAATGGCGGCAATTGAAGCCTAATTGTATTGCTTGAACGATGAAATAAATTTTACTGCCAAGAACTATATTTTTCCAAGAATGAATGAGTTGTTACCCTCAGTCAGTTTTCGATGCACACGTGAAGTTTTACCCTGGACGAGGCAAAATAGAATTGCCCTGAGGAAGATTTGGAGTACATTTGAGACACATGGATAAATAAATGCATCTTTGCCGTCCATATGAAACCAATTCCACTATCATCTTTTACTTGAAAAATATTTCGGACCTTGGCCTTAAAAATGAATGAACCATTGTAGCCAAAATACTTTACCAGAACCTTATCAGAAAACTGATAAACTCTATCAGATCAGTATTCCCCGCCCGTATCAAGTGCAGACTATTATAGCTTAATTTTGTCCTCACGTTAGATTAATATTTGCTAATTAAACAATCTCTCATGGCTCAATCATTTTGATCCTAATGCAGTCATCCATCAACGATGTAGTAACTTAGCTGAGACTTCCTCGACTCTATAATTGTGCAGTATGGCGTCAAAAAGATACCCCCGTTTGTGCTCACCGTCGATTCTATAGAGCTCGAGGCTATGTCATCATCTACCGCCTGACGGCAAGTGAGTTACAAAAATAGCACCCATCGTGGGTATTGATATCCGAAAATAGATTTTTATCGCTAAATTTAATAAAGTCAATACAGCGTAACATCGCCCTTTGATCATAACTCAAGTCTCAGATCAGTGACTCAGTTCTCTTTACTCACTCTGTAGTTTTTTGAAATTATCTTGGGAGAATTTACACTTAGTCAAGACCTTCCATCCCGAGATAATAATGTGTGTTTGAATTCACATGACCATTACATTTTTCATTTGCTTTACTAGGCTAACTAAAGTTGGCTGTCATTACTCTTAACAACGTCCCTTTAGAAATAACGTGCGCGCTCAGCCAAGTAGACACAGTTGAATAAAAAGCATCGATTCAAAACGTGGCGAAGTAATTAAAAGTCTCTATTGACACGGAGAGAATGCCGTGATGATTGCCGATAAATAGATAAGAGTTCAATGGGGTGTAAACAATTTGTTCGCATATTTATACCCCAGTTATTCTCTCTTGAGAACATTTGGCCTTGAACGCGCATCAACGCCGAACAAACAAGTTGCAGCACGGAGAGCAATCTCTTGTAACCACCTTGATATTTATTTTAGTAATCGGCGGTTAGTGACCATGAGCTTTTCGTTGGAAGATTTTTTATCAGCTGGGCAGATTTTAGTCCTCTGCTTTCTGATTTGTGTGTTCCTTACTGGAAAAGCAGTGTGGCAGCAAACTTTTTCCAAGTTGCCTCCAGGACCTTGGGGCATGCCAGTGATTGGTAAGTTAATTGTTTAATCTTTCTGATCACGATTCGATGTTCAGTTTTTACGTTATAACCTCTGTGATTGTCAAGCCACTCAAGACGTTTTTGCCTGTTTAAAACAGTACTGCTTCATTTGATGTTGAAAGTCCGGCAAGACTATTCAACTAGCCGTGAAGAGGCAGAAATTGTTAAAAAAGACTGCGAGATTCAGGTTTACAACATTAATTTTAGTATTGACAACTTGAGGAATCTAACTTACACGAGTTCAGTTTAGTATTGTACATTGTGCTGATTTTTTTCCGTGATTACAACTAAGCATCGTCCGGTTTTTGGAGAACCCTTCACTGTGAGCTTTAAACTTTTACATAGTTTGACTTCAACGACTGAAAAGGGGTAAATGTTCTCTAAATTTCTCTCTGTTTTTTTTTTTTTTTTTTTTTTTTTTTTTTTTTTTTTTTTTTTTTTTTTTTTTTTTCAGAATAACAACTAACAACTTTTGGTTAGGTCTAAAAATGTCCTCTGAAGGCGGTTCAGAGCTGCATTAAATTTCCAGATGTAATGTAAAAGTACTTGAACTGGATTCTTCCCACGAATGTTCATTAACGCTTATGCCGTCCGTTGGGACGGCAGAACAAAAGACTGCCGAATGTGAACTATCTTAATTTGAATACTTACTTAAATTTTTGCCGCCGTTAATTAATATTCCAAAAAAAAATAAAGTGAGGTGGAGGTCCAGGGTTGATGCCCTATGCTCCTCATTAGGAGCGAAGATAGCCTAATTTTTAATGTAAATTAATATTCTAATCGTTCGTGTCAGTGTTCAGTTTTTGTTGAGTCCTTGTAGAATTCGGTAAAATAGTAATGCGAAAGAGTTTGTATCGTCGAAACACGGATACTTGTAGGACCAACGGTGGCGATCTCTTTTGTAAACGGGCCAATGATTCTTTTATACTTTATATACTCTACAGATCCCGTGCCTGGTTTTGATTATCATAATTATCAATTTTCTCAAATATTTAGCCTCAAAATTCGTCTTGTGACAGATAACCCGAAACCCGTTTAAAGATGCTATAAGTTCAGGATCGAAACGAACCAATCTAATTATGACAAATATTCCTGAGAGGTCTACAATATTCAGAACTATTGTCTGTACTCTCCAACGTCCTTAGTTCGTAAATGAAAACGATCACCTTCTTCAAGCGGCCCGGTTCGAGCAGTTACACTGTATTTGGGTGACACGGATCCTCGAGGGTCGTTGTTTCTGGGCTGCTAAGACAAAATCATCAATGGTTGAAATCTACTCACAAGAAGGATAAATCGTTAAGGTTGTCGAAGTGATGACGTTGAATGACAGCAATGCGATTCCTCGAAAGGTCACTGGGAGAAAGATATTGACAAAAGTTAGTCGGGTGAAGGTTACAATGTTGTGCAATACGAAAAAAGCGACAGTACTCAAGACGCTATCACGACAGGTCATCCCGTTCTTTAGCAGTTTCAATTTACTTTTACCTTTGTTTCCCGTTTTGGGTCGGTTAAGTTTTTCAGTGCATTACCGAGTAAGTCGGTAATTAATGTACACGGCTCATTTTAGCTCGTTGCAAAATATAAATGGTTTAGTAGAATCATTTCGCCTGAATTGTTTACACAAAGTACAGACATCAGAAAGATCAAGTTAGTTCTTGTCTTAATCGACGAGTTATGCTTCTGTTGGGTTGACATATTTTTCTTTCGAAAGATCTTTTAGGAAAGAGAACATGAATAACGAAGAACTAGAAAGAAAGGGTTTTATAGAGCACTAACTATAAATACACTGAGCTTCGTATAATGTTATCCTGCGGAAAATATCCTGAAATTGCCCAGTGTTCAAGAATATCTTGATCCATAAAATACCTACAGATATTTCAGATAGGTCATGTTCGTGAAAGTTCCATTAGGCAACGATGAAAATTGATTGTTTTGAAGTAACCTGAGAAAATAAATCATTTGTCATCTTACTTGAAGGTCTGTATGGGCTAGCTGATGGCTGAGTACTGGTCATACTAATTAACAATTATTGGGCGAGGTTGATCAAAATATCGTGTTTTGTCAGTGGCCGGCAAACTGACAGAGAAGCTGACAAATCACGATATTTGAGATAACGAAATTCAATAATTAATTAATCATTTGATCACCAATAAATTAAAAAAAGTTTGTTTTCATATTTACAGGCGTTAAATCATTCTCTGACAGCTAAGGGAAGTTTCAACCCTGAGCGCAGCTACAATTACGCAAGATCAGAATATTAATTACAGCCAAACACATCTACTCTGTATGTATGTCTTTTCACGTTGCCTGTTCAGCTTGACAGAATGAAACAGTGGTCGATTATAACACGGTGGGCAATTTCAACTCATGCCATTATCACAAGCTGAGTACTCGAGGATCACCCTATCAATGACCGAAGATCATCCGAGGTCTTCCAACTTTCAACTGTTGAGATTTGAATCATCAGTCATCAACAGAGTTTTGCCACGGAATCAAAACTTGGGGCCGTTTGGAGTACTGACTGGAGTTTAAATCACGGACCTATTAAAATCAGTTTTAATATTGACCCTGGAGGTGTTGTTCTCTTCAATTAAGAAGTAATGGCGTATAACTCACAGAATAACAAGTCGTTGGAGGCCCGTGAACGCGGCTGGCCGAAGAATTTCAATCTTGTTTTTGGACAAGTCCCTAAAAGTTAGTCGTTAAATTTTCAGATAGAGATTAGGTTCACCGTCACTTCATTATTACAGTTTGCTCAGTTTAGATGTTATTTTATTGAATAGTAATTATGACTGCAACGATTTCTTTAATCTATAATATGTAATGCTTACAGTTTTTGATCGAGTCTAAAGAAAAGGCTTGCTATTTGGCACAACAAATCATAAGAACAGAAGTATAATCTTTTACTTCTATTCACGAATCGATGGCGATTTTGAAGGCGACTGATACATGGCGAGACAGCTTACCATAAA